TCTCTTCCAACAACTCAAACCTAACATGGCCAAAACTGAACTCTTCCTTTCTACCCAAATTGACCCCACTCCCCCTCAGTCCTGTCACCTTTGACACCAGCTGCCATCTAGACCCATAACTTGGTCCAGACTCCATCTTCCCTCATGATTCCACCCAGCCTTTTTTGAAATCTTTGTTTCTTCTCCCATAATATTTCTAAGATGCCATCTTTCTGTGATGGGGTTGTTCCACTCAGACATGCTGGGCAAGGGTTAATATGATGCCAGTTAACCAAATAAAAAAGCCTAACAGGCCTAATGAGAAATAAAGCCCCACTGGGAGAAGAGTAGAGCTTATTTCCATACAGTGTTGAGAGAATCCAGCTGAGGAAGGAGATCTGCAGGAGACAAGGTAGAGTGTTCCCCTTCTCTGGGAAGACATTGAAAACTAGTACAACAGAGTTGACAGACTACTGTCCGGATCAGCTATAAGCCTAAGTAGAACCAGAAGCCCTGAGGCACTGTAGCCCTGAGCCAGGTAAGGAAGATGCCAGCCCCTGGACTAGGGTATTCATTGATGCACAGAAGCCTCTACTTCCATAAGAAAACAGTATACAGTAACAGAGGAACACCAGTGCCAAGATGGCTGCTCACAGAACCCATCTGGAATGAAGGTTTAGGTAATAAGTATACATTTCTGTTGGATTTTGGTAAAAGACGGTGTTGGGTAGGACTCTGAAAAGTGGTCTGTCTGGAAAGCTGGAACATGCCAAAGGACAGTGGGAGAAACTGAGGCAACACCAGCATCAGCCAGGAAGGAGAGTGAAAACAGCAAAGTTGCCCCCATCTCACATCTCAAACACTGTAATTTGCTCCATCCATCATTTGTATCCTCCCACAATACTTATGAACATAAATACAGCCATACTGAGTCAGACCAAAGATCCAGCTAGCCCAGTATCCCGTCTGCGGACAGTACCAAATACAGATGTCCCAGAGGGAGGGAACACAACAGGTAATCATCCTATCATCCAGACAAACAGAGACTAGGGACATCATTCCGACCCATCCTAGCTAACAGCCATTGATGGACCTAGCCTCCATGAATCAGTCTAGCTCCTTTTAACCCTGTTAAAGTCCTAGTCTTCACCACATCCTCTGGCAAGGAGTTCCACAGGTTGACTGTACACTGAGTGAAGAAAAACTTCCTTTTGTTCGTTTTAAACCTGATGCTTATTAATTTCATTTGGTGACCCCTAGTTCTTATATTGTGGGAATAAGTAAATAATTTTTCCTTATTCACTTTTTCTACACCAGTCATGATTTTATAGACTTCTAGTCTTTTCTAAGCTGAAAAGTCAAAGTCTTTTTAATCTCTCTTCATATGGGACCTGTTCCAAACCCCTGAACATTTTTGTTGCCCTTCCACTTCTTCATATACATTTCAAGCTTACTAGTTTTATCTTCTAATTCATTAACAGCTTTTTCACTTGTATGTATCTCTATCCTCTCACCGCCTGGCCTCTCAGCATTGTTAATTAAACTAACCTCATCTGCCCTCTAGTCCACTTCATTCCTGGTCTTTGACCAAGATATTCAATGACGACTAGTGATTTGGGATGCACAACTGGATGCACTTGAAGACAGATGTCCAACAATTTCTTTAAAAAAACTTTACTCCTTTAGGGTGTGAAGCTTAGCAGACAAAATCTAATGTACCCATTCAAAAATCTTGCCTTGATACCTTCTTTCAAGTTGCTTCTTATAAGGAGAATGTCCTCTCTGACCCAATCCCTAATGCTTTAACCTTCTCCCCCAAATGCATCCTCAGTAAATCTCTTCTTCCATAGTGACTAAATGAATCTGACAATGGACAAATTAAATACAATTTTAAACCAATGATCTTGTCAGGGTAAAACATCTTATAAGGTATAGAAATATTGCATGCTTTGATGCCCTCAGTCATTACACTTTGCCTGTCTGTGTGGAACTGTGTGCATAACTTTACTTTGTCAGTACAAAGCCCTCTCCTCCTCCCTTCATTTGCTTCTTGGTTCTCCTAAACTAAAGCTTTAGCGGGCATGTTTATCTTTCATTATGCATTTGTATACTGCCAGACACTGTGCGCTCCTGATCTATAATGGGACCACAAATATAACAGATCAAGAATAATATACATCACCCTTAAATGAACATAATCTTAGAAATGGCAATATGTTATGCTTTTCTAAGTTGCATTACTTCAAAATTTTCAAGTTTTGAAGAAAAAAACTAGGGAAAGGGGGGAGAATGGTTAATTTTATATCTGGAACCAGACCTTACTCTCAACTGAGTCGCTTGTTTTTGAAACAAAAGAAGCTAATGGTTTGGCAAAAAGCAGACATCTACACCAGACTCTGAACTCAATCCTTCAAAGCAGACTTTTGATCTGTAGAGATTTTCAACACTGTTGAACTCTTAGTATCAACTTTAGTTACTGAATGGAAGTTTATGTAACAAATTTAAAAAACACAACATGGATAATTGAGCCACATAGCACATGCACTTCCAGTTTTGAGGATCCAGATGTCATGGTAACCACAAGAGGAAAGAGTTGCTTGTGATGTTTTAGTAAAAAGATTGAGCTTCTCTGTAGGGGCTTATTCATGCCAGTGTTTTATAGACTATCACACAGGAAGTTATTTTAAAAGAAAAAACACATATGTTTAGGTATTTGTGACATTTCAGTTACTGGAGTATATTTTGCATATAACTTCAAATCACAAATGGAAAAATGTTGAAAATGGATGTTTTAAAGATCACTTTTTTTTTGCTTTGCTTTCAAGTGCAATCATCATTGTTACACAGACAACTACAGCACTCAGCACAGCAACATGCTAGCTTGTTTATTGCAAACATAGTATTAACAATATTTGATACTTTTTAAGGTACCAAGCTAACATCAAGGAAAAAGTTAGCATCATTACTTTCATTTTACAACTGTAAAATACCGCTTTTTCAAATGTCAGAAAAGTCTTGGTCAACAGTTGCAACATTTTAACAAATGCTGGCTTTAAAGTGATAGTGCCAAGCGAAATTAGAACCCCAAAGTTCACCGGTTTTAATATGAAATTTTAACAAAACCTAAGTCTAAAAAGCAAGCTCTGTTTTCTATTTTCATTTTTCAACAAATGACTCTTTTGCAATGTTTGCAGCTCACCTACTGCAGCACTATCACAAAGCACTATTTCTGAAACATTCTTTATAGAACCAGAAACTAAAATTTCACCCAAATAGAACATGAAAGTGAAACTGACCATTCTATTTTCCAAAAAGAAAAACAAAATTAAACAGCATTACAGGCAGTCCCCGGGTTATGTACAAGATAGGGACTATGGGTTTGTTCTTAAGTTGAATTTGTATGTAAGTCGGAACTGGTACATTTTGTAGGGGACACTCTAGCCAAACATTTCTTCAGAGCTCAGTTTTATTCTCCCACACCTCACTTCCCTCAGTCCTTTATTCTCAAGCTAAGGTGTCTGCTGAGAAAAGCCGCTCCGCGTCTCCCTGGTCTGCTGGGGGGGGGGGGGGGGAGGGGACGCCTGGGGAGGGAAGAGAACGCTAGCTTCGCGTCTCCCTGGTCTGCTGGGGGAGGGAGGGCAGCTAGTGCGGGGTTGCCTCACCCCGTTTTTAAGTAGGGATCCGATGTAAGTCGGATCCATGTAACCCGGGGACTGCCTGTACAAAAGTGAATCAGCTATGTTGTTCATGACAGCTGGGGTTCATCATTCCCTGACCCAAGAATGAATATTTAAAATATTACATAAGTTCTCTTCAGAGCTTTCCTTATTTTGTGCTAGTGTTTTGCTTCTAGTTCCTGTAACTATTAATACAGAAATACAAATAAGCATGATTACATTTATGAAGTATTTAAAATTGACAGTAATTTTGACAAACTGCTGTGGGACAAAAGTAAGGATGGTCTAGAAGACAGAGCACTGATCTAGGACTTGGGAAATCCATGCTCATTTCCTGGCCCTGCTTCTGACCTCTTATCTGATCTTGAGTAGGATGTTTAAAATCTAGCAAGTGTCTCAGTTTCTCCTTAACCATAATAGGGATACCTCCTTCTAGGAGTAGCAAGAGAACAAATCCATCCACAATTGTTAGATGCTCAGATACTGTAGGGATAAGAGCCCTTTAAATACTTCACTAGATCCACCAAAACCACTCCTTCTCAAGACCTGACAACAGAATCAGTGTGTCCACTACACAAGGAGAAGATGACCTGCAACCTCTGCACCAAAGTTCAACTCTACTGAAGAGCACTGAGCCTCAGCAGGATTTGAAGGCAGGCTGAAACCAGCATAACAGACTATTGGTCAAGTACCCTGCCCTGCTGCTGGGGGTAAGGTAGCAGTGTGACTTCAGTACCAAAACAACTTCACAGCCACAAGCAGCAGAGAGATGACCGGGGCAATTCTGCCATTCCACCACAGCACTCAATTCACTAGTAGCTTGAGCGAGCACTCACTGGAATCCATGGAAGCCCTTCTGTGAACTTAAGTGGGTACTGTACAATGATTTATTTAGGCCATGCACTCAACTCAGAATTGTCCCTCAGCGCTGATAATTTTTAAAATGGAATTCCCTAACAAAGCTCAGAAAGAGTCTAATTTTATACTTACAAAGCTACAGAAATAAGAAATTAAGTCTTAAGTGTGAAAAATTAAAGCTCCGTTGAGGTGTTACAACTGCTGACAATTTACAGAGCCAAATTTCACTCTGGATTCATGCACACAATTTCCATTAATTTCACTGTGTTCACCCATCTGAGGCTAAATTTGTCCCCAAACACTTACCTCTTCAAGGCCAAACAAAAGGTCAAATCAGGTGTTTAGCTTTCTGAAAGAAGAATTGTATTATCACAAGAGCAGAGATTTTTCAAGTTTTCAAACATCTGATGTGTTTCACCTCAGGACCAAAAAAAAAAAAAAAAAAAAAAAATGCATCCTTTATTTTGTTCAAAAGTGAAAGGATACGAGGTGTTCCTTCAGTTCTACACACCAAGTAGAGACATGCAGCAATTACATGGGTCATCTTTCGTCCACGAGTTAAGTGCTTGCTCACTGCCATCTTGAAAAAGTTAAAAGCAGTATCAAGACAATGCTGGTTGAGTTGCAACTGGTTTCCTAAGTGATGAATTTGACGCTTTCCTTTAAAAAAAAAAAAAAAAAAAAGAGAGAGAGAGAGCTCTTAAAACAATTTTGTAATTAATCCACTTTTTAACAAATGACCAAACTTAAGAAAAACCTTGCTTAGAAATTTAAATTTAGACATTCTTGTGCAACAAAATGCATTCTTTTAATAAAGCACAAAAATAAAAGAAATAATACACTAATGTTATTTTTGATCCTAGAACAATTTCTTAAATCATGTAGCTCTATGAAGATTATGTCCTAAATTTTCAAATGTGTCTACTGTTTTGGGGCATCCAATTAGAAATGCTGATTTTCAGAAGGGGCCAAGTATCCCATTCAAGTCAACCAGAGTTTTAGGTGTCCATTTCTTGGGGGGAGGACAGGGTCTAGATCTGAATTTGGGCAGAATTGAGGCAACCACACTACTAAACATTAAAAATATAGGTTCATTCTTTGTTTAGATGAGATAGCACCCAAAACATGCTGGGCTCTTTTCCAAACAGAAAAAGATTTTCCCCAACGAGTTTGACTGGCATTTGATCAGCTTTAGAGATGAATGTCTTTTAAAAAAAAAAAAAATCAAAAAAAGAAATCTTATTGTGGTACACTTGACTAATTGCGGTTCACTTGACTAATTGCAAACAAGTTATACATTTTGTTACAATTCAAAATTGATGAAGTATGTTGGTCTCTTAACAACACAACATCAAAAACAAAAGGAAAGGAGCTTCTGGCACTTATCTTGAAGCTTAATCATGGTTATCGTTGCTAGGGCAGAACTTCCTCTAAACATATTCAGAGCAGAGGCTTCATTTAATTTTGCTGCCAAACTACATTGATTAAGGAAAACAAGATGCGTGTTCACCCTTAGAAGAAATGTACTTTAGGTTAGTCATAATAGGAAGTGGTACAGCTGCTAAGACAGACCTGGAAAGCAAGGTCCAGCCCCCTCTCAAAGTTCTAGCTATGAAAACCATTCCAAGAAGGAATGATAAGGCTGAGTTGGTGGAAAAGATGGGAGAAGTCATGATGAAAAGTACTGGGCTCATTAACAATCAGTGGGTCAGACAATAACAAAACAAAAAACCACCTTTAGTTAAATATTTCAGACAGATGTTTCTACTACATGTTCTTACAGGAAACATGCATCTATTAAATTCAATGAGAAGTTACAAACACGTAAGTATATTTGAAGAAGTGAGTACCAAGTAGTTTTCCAAGTAGCTAATCCACAGCTTTTCATTTCAGGCAACAGTGACAACATAATAATTTCAAGAAAAATAAGAACATATATCTGTAATTCTTTACTTTGACACACCTGATAATCAGGCTTTTCCTCCATAAGCAGCAGTAACAGTATGTTAAGGGAAGTTCATAATATCTGAAAACCCTTCAAGTCAACAAGAAAATTCTAACTTGGTTCCAGTAAAGATACTCCCAGAAATCTAACTACAATTCAATGCAATTCCTCCCAAGCAGAAAGTTGCACACAAATAGAGAACCACAGAACTATGTTAACTTCCCTCTGCAATCCATCAAAAGAAATTTCATCCAATGTAGGAACTTAGAACAATCAAGAAAACGTTTTGGAGAATAGCTACAACTCTTCATGCTGGAGATGCCCTGGACCCACCTATAGCAATGGAAGTGAAAGTGTTCATCTGTTTACATTATGATCAAGCCCTCAAACATATGTACAGTAATTCCTCATTTAACACGTGCCCCCTTAACATGTTTTCGCAATAGCACGATTTTTTTTAGGGAACGTTTTTTAAATTACACGACCGTCCCCAGAATAACACGATTTCCCCAGCCAGGACTTCCCCTGCTTCACTGCAAAGCGGAGGAGGGTTCACCACTCGCCACGCCATTCCCCGCTGACTCCTCCTCACTGGACACCTTTCCCCCTCTCCTCCGCCCCCACTTGCAGGCTTGGCCCCTCTCCTCTGCCCCCGTTGCCAGCGGCTGCGTAGGGCTTCCCTCACCTTCCTGCAAAGCAGCGAATGGTTTGCTGCTCGCCGTGCCGTTCCCCGGAGACGCCCCCGCTCGCCAGACGCAGTGCAGGTCCCGGAAGACCTGTTACAAGGGCATACTCCCAACCCAATCCCCCATACCTTCTCCTCCCTTTGCCTTCCCCAGAGCCAAACACCTCCCCTCCTTGCTGTAACCCAGTCCCCTTTCTCCCCCAACCTTATGTTCCGGCCCCAAAGGACACCACCGCTTGAAACGCAACCCCCACCTTTTCCATTATTTTCAATGGGAAAATTGACCCCGCATAACACATTTTCACTTAACACCATCATTTTCTGAAACATATCTATAGTGTTAAATGAGGAATTACTGTATTAACATTTTGTAACCAAATGGGTAAAAAATGTCAGTGTCTCTAATTTGCTCTTCATTTCAAAAAGGTGGCTTGATGTTTTCTTGTACAAAAGTAAATTAAAAATCACACAAAACAGTACCCACTCTCTACAGGTCTTTTATCAGAATAATCACATTAATCAATGCAGTTCTTTCCCTTGCTTTCTTAAGCTGGGACATGATAGTCAGCAATTAGGCTTCTATACAGGAACACAAAACATCTTGTATTCCTTTTAGTTCCTTCCTTTACCCCAAACTTAAAGCATCTTCACACAAAGGTAACAAGAACAAACCTTGCCTATTATATATTTTTGTTGCCCTATCACATATGGGCAGATTAGTGTGTTTTGCCTGTCTTCTTCCTACCTCACCTATCTGATAACTTTCAGGGCTGTAATATGTAACTGAATTTAATTTATTAATACCACAGTAATTCTAAGTCTTCACTTTTGAAGGGCAGCTGTAACCACATATTTAGGGCATAAGAAAAGAATCTATGGATAACAAATTTTATTTCCCATGCCCTTGTTGCCACAAGCACACATACAAATGGGGACAATGAGTAGCAATTCTTCAATGGATAAAAATATATGGCGAAGAAGACTTGAAAACATTATCTAATGAAGCCAATAAATACCTTTTAGAACTTCAACAATAAACTAAATTCAGTACTTAATACCACAAAAGTTTGGAGAAAGGAGGATAGAAACACTAGGTCCTTGAGGACTTGCTGCCTGAAAGCTGAGCCTAATGCTTAAACTGGCTACAGCACTTTGTAAAAATATGCAGACACTTCCTGGCTGTTCTCCTTACCCAAAAATGATGCTACAGCTTTAGTGGAATGGGTTACAATTTTATAAGTATAACGTACTCAATTCCTTGTAGGACTGGTGCATGCAAAATTCAAACCCCACAAGCAGGCCTATGAAGTCAGTTACAGAAAAGTTTGAGCTTCATGCAAAGTTGAAGAGGGAGCTTGTGAATTGAAAGAGGGGGTGGAGATGTTCAGAATGATAGACTAAAATGCTACTGACATTTTCTATGGACTGGAGGAGGAAAATGTGGATGTCAAGAAGAGGAGTAATTAAAGCAGATGACGAGAGGAGAACCTGACACAAGAATGTTCAGCATTAGAAAGAAAAGAACAGACTGCAGAAATGAGGCAGATAAGCGGAAGGACTCAAGACACTCCCTGAGTATGTAGGACAAGGAAGGGGGAAGAGCCAAAGGCAACTTCCAGTGTATGAATTTGAGTGCTGGGGAGGAAGGTGGTTGATGGTGAGGTTATGAGGGAGGAAAAGCAGTTTGGTTTCCATGATGTTAAGACATAGCAGAACTTGCTAGTTCCATTTTTTAAAATATTCATTAATTTCTTCAGACAGTGATGAAGGAAAAAAAATAGAGAGAAAAAGAATAGAGGGGCAGGGAGATAACGGAAAGGATGGAGTGGTACATAATGTGTGGATTGTAAGGAAAAGAGGGAGGAGGCTGGATGATATAATCAATAAGCAAATGGAAAAGAATATCCAAAGTTCAAATACAGTAAGACTCCAACTGTCCAGCATCCAGTGGTCTGGCACTCCTGATAGTCCGGGTTCCAGTTGGTGCCAGAAATGTTCTGGCAAGCCGGACAACTGGAGCTGCTCTGCCCCTGGCTTCCCCAAGTCCACCGCTGGTGAGTTTTAGCAGCGGTAGACTTGGGGAAGCCCTGGGGCAGAGCACCCTAGCTGCTCTGCCCCCAGCTTCCCCAAGTCCGCTGCTGCTGAAACTGACCAGCGGCTGATTTGTGGAAGCCCGGGGCAGAGGACTGCCCAGCCACTACCGCACCTGACCAGAGCAGCTCTGCTCCCGGGCTTCCTCAAGTCAGCCGCTGCTCAGTTTCAGCAGCAGCTGACTTAGGGAAGCTGGGGGCAGAGCAGCTGGGGTGCTGTCGGGTTGGTCCCGCAGCACGGCCCTCTCCCACGCTGTGCAGTTTGCCACCGACCCCTCATAGTCCCCCTTCTCTGGCATATCTGATAAGCCAGCACCCCCAGGGTCCTAAAGGTGCCGGATCATCAGAAGTTTACTGTAGTAAAAAGCAGGCTAGTACTGACATCTAAGTGCTGCAAAGAGAGAGGCCAACCCATCTTCCTGCTTGACTGCTACTGCTCCCAACCGTTGGAGGGAAAAATCTCTGCTATTTCCGTGTCTTAAAACCTCTGCTGATGTTGTTTGCTCAAACTAAGCTGTAAAAATCAGGATTTGTAAACTCAGCTTTAGAAGGTTGATTGATTGTTCTGTAATTGAAACTAATTTTAGGTTGTTCATGATTAATTTTAAAAGCAAATTTTTAACAGAAGTTGTGTCAGATACTTATTCACCCAAGAAGATTCTACTGTTGAGATAAAACTAATACATGTTTAATCCTTAAACAGCTGAAAGGCTGTCTTGCTAGAGAGAAGTGTGAACACACATTTATCTTTAATGAAAGGTATTCCTTAGCTATCTGGCATTAAAAGATTAAAAAAAAATCACTCCAAGCACTTCAAGCAGAGCTATTGATCATAACAGTATATTGTTCTTCACTGCTATCAAAGCTTATTTGTGCTTGGTTTTAATCTCTATTTTGTGTAGATGGTGTTTTTACATCAAATCACATTTATATTCGTATT